GTGGCAAACTGATGAGAGAAACGATCGACAATGGCGAGGCAACAAATTTTGGGAACAAAACAAAGAAAACGGCAGCAACACGAGCAAGCTTCTCTTCGAGTGAAGAAGACCCAAACTAGAAATGGCCACTCCCGCAAGAGCAAGAACAGTGGCTGCGCGAGCGCCTACTCCGACCAATGCCTGCTCCATGAACGAAAAAGAGAGTCTGAAGGGCCAGTGGCTTCGGCTCCGCCGTGAGAACCAAGCACACCACCTGCTGCAGACGACGAGACTGGTATACCACCTGCTGCCAATGAAAGGGCAACGCCCGGGTGGCCAAAATCTTCCAACTGAGCATTCGGTGAGCTCTTGACGGTGTGGTCCATGGCTGCTAGACTGAGACAAAACCTAAAAACACTAGAACCGAAAAGAAAGACTAAAAGAAAATGAAAAAGAGAAAAAGAAAATGAGAGGCTGGAAACCTGACGGCGGCGACTGCGGTCAGCTGGAGATTGAAAAGGAGAACCTAAGGAAATAACAAAAAATAAAATAAAATAAATGAAAATTAAAAAAAAAAGGAAGAGGAGTCAAAGGGTGCTAGAGAAAAAGAGGAGGAGGAAAGATAGAGACAGAATGAGGAACATTTTTTGTCTGACGTCCATTACTGACAATATAATTAATTAACTTATTTTATCTCTTGGATTCAAAATTAGTACCACTCAGTTCTTAATTATTATGTTGGATAATCAATCTGCATGCAGGGCTTAACATAATAAATCCTTCATGAGCTCATTTCGGGGACGTCATCAACCTAACAGACTGGGATATAGTGACTGTAAATAATTTTATAAGCACATCCAGTAGCGGATCTAGAAATTTCACTCCGGTGGGACCGATTTAAAATGTTAAATAACATGTAGTTTAAGTTGAAACGCTTATTTCATATAAAAATGTATTTATCTATATATGTACCATCAAGTTTTTAAAACTTATAATTTGTATTACCCTCAAACTTTTTTTTTTTTAAAAAAAAAGAGAGATTTCAAGTATTTATAATTTAACTTCGGCATCTATAAGTTATGGAAATATAAGTTTTATGGTTGAAAATTTGTTTCAATTGAACTTATGCAGCACATTGCATAACATTTTTGTTGATCTAAGCTTGCCAAATGAACATTTTTTAAGGAATAAAAATTAAAGTTCAAAATATGTGATTACACAAAAAGAAAAGTAAAAAAATTATTAAAAAATGTAACAATCCGACTAAATACTCAGTCTTATATCCCTAAATCAATTTAAAATTAAATTGTTAGTACATTTTCAAAAAATAAATAATATTATTAATTTAAATTAAAATAACATAGAAAATATTTTTTAATTATTAACATATTTTTATGCATTTCAAGATATATTTTATAGTAATATTTATTTGTTTATATTTATAAATATATTTTATATATTGACTTTAAAAAAAAAATAAGGGGGCCCACGGGCCCTCCTGGGCCTGGTATGGCTCCGTGACTGAGCACATCATATAAGCATCATTATTTACCAAAATATTGAGTGTCATCCTAACTAAAAATAAGAACCACTCTTGGTAAATTAAATAAATAAGTGATGAGTATACATGTTTGTTATTATTTTACGGCTTAATAAAATGCATAAATTGCTGAGGTTTAGATTATTTATTTGATTAGTATTCAAATAATATTCTTTTATGTGGTCCATTCGACACTTTATGTAGTATCAGTGCAATTCATCAGTCAAAGATCAACTGAATTAAAATCCCACTACAACTTTTACCAACCGATTGTTCAATTGTGTCTAGGCTGTGAATTAGTAATTTATATTTAATTTGCAAAGAACTACTAATATGATTTTTCTGTTCGACCCATCGAACTATACTATCTAGAATGTAAAATACTGTAAATTATACTCGCATAAATAAATAAATTGCAAACACACATACTTGACCAAAACACAATTCTCATTCAAAATGGTACTGTCAGAAACTGAAAGCCGAGCTTTTATAATATACCCTTATATTGGCCCCCCACACACCCTATTTACAATTTCATATATGTTATTCGAATGCAATAAAAAAATACAAGTTTTATTGCATTGTGATTATATTTTATATTTATAGAGACACCCATTTCTCGTTTATTAAAATTTCATATATGTATTATTTTTTATATGAATGTATTATTTCATAAAAATATAAGTTTTATTACATAAATGTATTATTTTCTATATTTAAGAAATATGAAACTATTTAATTATATTTAATTATTATTTTCCATCTCTAATTTGCTCGTTTTTTTAAACCAATTCCAGGATCAAGATGACCCGGCGTACGACCCCAAGACTTGGCCCACTAAAGTCCAATTCTTGAATGTCGGCCCATTAGAGCGAGAATGCAAACGACAACTCTCAGATGGAGAAGACACTGAGGTCTACGAACAAAGGGCGAGGGCCCTTATCCTCTGGTGCATAGGCTCGTTTTTCTTCCCCGAACAGCGGGGCGAACGGAGTCAACCTATATTGGTTGGATATGCTGCACGACATTGATCAAATAAAGGTATACAACCGGGGTGCAGCGGTCCTCGCCCGATTGTATAGAGCGTTGTGCACATCCTTCGAGGTCGGGCAAGGCTGGATGAAGGGCTGTGTGCAATTGCTTCAGGTACACTTATTTAGTTGTTATTTAAAAATTTATTTTCTTATTCTGACTAATATCTAATACAAAAAATGCATATATCGATATGTGTAGGTTTGGGCATGGGAACGCATCCCTCGTATTCGCGCAACAATGAAGTCCACGCGCTTTGATTCTGTACGTGGTTGTCTGTTGTGAGTATTTTTACCGGAGTAGAATCGAAAGATTCGTTTCCCAGGTCATATCGCAAGGAAGGTTAGCCGGATTCAATTGTACGATTATTCGATCACGAGAAAGAAAAGAAAAATTCCTAAACACTCTATTCAATAATTTTTGGGGTTTTAATTATCAGCTAAAGATTTAAAACTAAAGCAAACAAATTAAATAGCAAGTGAATAAACTCAAATGATTAAAGAGCTAGGGAATCGGGGATAATTGCTTTCGGTTCTAACACAACTACCGGCAATCAATTGCTCGGTTAAAGGACTTGAATCGTTTCTCGTCCAGAGGCTCACTCTCAATAAGTCTTCGTAACAAGAGAGTGAATGTACACGATCAACTATCAATTCCAATTACACACAGACAATACTATTACGAACAAGTCTACTCTAAACAAGCCTATATCGACCAACGTCTCCCCTCTCGGTTCTACACGTTGATTAATTAGGTTAGAAAGGTGATCAATCTACTAACCCTAGAATAAGAACAACTTGAATAGATATGAACAATTAAGAACAAGAAATTATAATCGAACCTAATCAATCATCCCCTATCCCTAGCGTATGGATTTAGCTACTCATATGGAATTCAACATCAAAACTCACAAAAACCCAAGCCATCATCATCAATCAAGCAATTGAGAAAATAAGAACTTACGATTAATAAAAGAATCCCAATGTCAAATCCACTGAACAATCCAAATCCAAGCCAGAAAACAGAGTTTTAATCTCCAAAAACAATCTAAATTAGCAAAAGTATGAAAAGGAATGAGTTTCTCGAGAGAAAAAGTCAAAAAACAAAGTCTGGAATGTGAATAATAATGTCTAGGTTGAAATTCTGATGTTAAAATCCCGACCTTGAAATTCGCGCCGCGTAAGTCGCGAGAGAGTCGCGACTTTCACTTCCTTCAGGTCGCGAGTCGCGACATCTCGCGAGTCGCGCGTCTTCAAATATCTTTATTTTCTGGGGAAGGTCGAGACAAGTCTCGCGAGTCGCGACTCAATCTCGCGAGTCGCGACAAAGGCTCGCGAGTCGCGACTCGTCTCGCGAAAACCATCATCTCGGCTCTGTTGGACTCGCGAGTCGTGACATT